CGCCTGGCGCTGGAGACACCGGGCCAGACTCGCCCTTCAGAGACGACCAGGAGCCGGTGGGGTGCCCTCCGCGGCCTGGGGAAGGGGGTGCGGCCGTGGTTCTGTCGAGCTGCCCAGCCGATGGGGGGTGCGGTTCTGAGCGCCCCTCACGCCGAGCTGAGATGAAGGTTCAGGTCTGGAGATTCCCCGGGGGCCCGGGGAAAGGGCGCGGGACCCCCAGCAACCTGAGAACGAGGCAGCAGACTGAATCTCCCCAAGGTCCGAGGAGAAGGCGGGGGGGGGGTGCTTGGCTTGTCCCCCGCCTGGGGAGGGGGCGCCGGCCTTGCGGAGTCTTCCTGACGCCCCGAGCCCAACAGGACATGCGCGAGGACGCTGGACCCGTCGGGAGTGGATGCCCCTGGGGCGTCGAGGAGGGGCTCAGACCAAGCGCGGAGGTGCTCGAATCCGGGGAGCTGCGTTCTCCGAGCGACCCCAGGTCTCAGGGGGCCCCCTCTCAGCGCGGAGCCCGCGAACTGAGCGCCCCGCTGTGGGGGCGGGTCCCGGGCCTGCATTTTAGGGTGCCAAGAGAGAAGGAATGTCTCCCCCCTGGAGAGGTGCAGTGTTAACTTGTGGCAGCTTGGGGGGCACTGATAGTTCCTGAGGGGCTGGGATTCTGAATTTGTCGTGGAGACTGCGGCGTTTGGCCCAGAGCGACTCCTGGAAGGGGCTGGGGGAGACTTTCCATTCCAGGAAGAGGAGTTTGCCGGGTGCATAAGTCTTTAACCGCTCAGAGGAAACAGTTGAAGGGGGAAGGTTGGCGGCCATGGGACCTCGCGGTTCCTCAGGCTTGTGGCCTCATCCTGGAGGGGTGAACAAGTAGCTTTGTGTTTGGAGGTTCCTCTCCCCTGGGTCAGGTGCAAACAGGGCTGGCAGGCCAGGCCAGTGGCTGTCCCCGGGGAGAAGTCGTAGGCTGTGAAATGGAGCTCACTTCTCTTTGGATTCCTGGGGAAATCACTGGACAAGGAATATGGACACTGTAGTGTCCAGGGAGAAGAGTGGAGGAAATCTCAGTTAGTGCTCTGAAATGCTCGCAGGATGAGCCACTTCCCATGATGAACTCCTCAAGTGCTCCTGTGCCACCTTCTGGAATTCAGTCTGTGGAGCATGTGGAGGACAGTGTGGGGTGGTATAGTTGCTGTCTGACATGAGGCCGAGAAATCTCACGTCAAGGTTAGAGCAGCTATAAAAATACAGAGCATCCTCCCTTAATTTTTTCCCACTTTAACAGTTTTTACATAATCATTAAGTGGAGAGGTCAGAGCTAACCTATACTGAATCCTTAAGGCAAAACCTTCTATACTTAAGTGAAAAGATTTCATCTTCTGAACAGTTTCGACCCAAAGATTCATGGCAAAATGTTGGGGGACGCTAACAAATATACATTAAAAAAATAAAATAACAAAAATAATTTAAAAAAAAGAAAAAAATAAAAAAATAAAATAACAAATTAAAACTACGTGTACATACCTAATTAGTCAAAATCTACCATTTTAAGTGTTGTATTTCCTTCTTCAGATCGTCCTCCACTTCTGCTGGCCCTTTTGAGCTTGTTGGGTGGAGAAACAAATCAGAAGTAACCTTTCTTTAAGAGACTAGAGTTTTGACACGGTTCCTTCCCACCCCCACCTCCCCTACCTCCCAGCCTCCGGCTAGTTCAGACAGGAGATTGGGGTTGTGGAGAAAAGCTAGCTGAAATAGATGCAGTTAAAGAAACTGAGCACAGTGGTGGGTATCCCACAGTGCTGCTGGTAAATTTTACAGTAAGTGACCCAGCAGAGAGGGGGGCAGCTGCAGAAAAGCGCTACTGTAACAATTCCGATTTCCTGCCTTGTTCTGTGTGCTTCTTGTGAGGGTCAGGGCATGGGAAGGAAAGCAGGAACAGAGAATTTTTTTAAATAAATGGGAACTGGCATATTTATAGGTAAATTGATAGGAAATCTGGAAATTACTTAAAAATAATTCCGTGGTAGTGGGTGAAGGTCGCAATGAAACAAAATTGGTGTGTTGGCAATAGTTTGTGGTTTTTGTTTGTTCGTTTTAATCTGAATGAAGGTTTACAAATGACGAGTTAGTAACTGTTGAAGTTAGATGACAGATAGAGGGAGTTCCTAACTAATACTGTTTCAACTTTATGCTTGAAATTTACAGTAACAAAATAATTGGAAACTATTTTTTTTTCCAGAAAGAGTGGAACTCTTTGAATTTTTTTTTTGTGTGTGTGTGTGTGGTTAGTTTATGAGGAAGAATGAATTAGCAGTTAACTGTGTGCAAGTGTATGGCTTTGATGAGTGAAAGAATGAAGAAAAAAGTCGCTTGTGTAGAGTCAGATTTTGCTCTTTTATATAGTTTAATGGAAGAAAAGAAATGGATACATCATTTGCAATAAGACTCAGTGCAAAATATGATTATTGAAGTAGAATACAAAGATTTAGCCCAAAGCCAATGACATGGTTGCTTTTCAACTGCCTTCTTTTTTTTGTGGTATTTGAGGTTTTGTTTTGTTGTTTTTTAAAGAACCTAGGGTAAGGCAGGATTCTGAAGCCTAACCCCTCGTTGTCTGGTGGTCAGGGACTCGGAGATGTGCTGCGTGCTGGTAGCCCAGTGGAGGGCTGTGATTAAAGGTTTTTCTTGAGTGTGGCTTTGGAATCATGCACATGTGTAATGAGATAATGATGGGGCTAGTGTGGATGAGTCGTACTTCTCCATGGAGAGGAACGGAGCTGTGATGTAGTGTCCGTGAGGGATGTCTAACAGGTGGTTGCAGCTTTTCATATGCCTTCACAAATACTATCAGGTTTTATATCCATTTAAAAACTTTAGTTGAGATTGAAAGGTGTTTTTTTCTTCTTTTTGTTAAAAAACCCATAGTTTCTAACATGCACTTTACATTAAAGATCTACTCTCTTGCCTCCTGCCTCATAGAAAGAAAGTCTTCTTCCTGAGCTGGCTTCTTCTCTTTTTTTTCTCCTTCTCCTTCTCTCCTCCTCAATCCCCCCGTAAGCGAAACTTTCATTTTCTAGGGTAGTTTATGAGCAACAATGAAATGTTAGGATATTATAACTATCAAAGAGCTCATAATATAAAATTGACTTCTATTTATGTGCTTGATAACTTTCTTAGCTTTCATTTAAATTGGAATATTTTTTGGTTTTTATCAGCTTTTTTGGTTTGTATAAATACTTATTATACAAAGTATAAATGATTGTTTGAAGGTGATTATTCAAAAACATCGTGACAGATGGAGATAAGGTTCAGATTGTCAATGATTTCATTTTACTTGGATCCACCATCAATACCCATAATAGCAGCAGTCAGAAAAATCAAAAGATTTGCTACATTAGGAAAATCTGCTGTCAAGGATCTTTAAAAAATGCAGAATGTCGTTTTTTTTTTTAAAAATTTATTTTGTGTGTGTACTGTCAAATCAGATCTGACTGGTATAGGAGGAGATTGCCCCTCCTTCTCCAGCAGAGCTTCTAGTAGATTTGAACCACATACCTCTGGGATTACAGTGCAGCTTTTTGCCACTAGGCCACCAGAACTTCCTCAGGATGTCAATTTAAAGACTGAAATGTGCCTGGTTTGGGCCATGGTCTTTTTCAGTTACTGAAAAATTGAACAATGAATAAAGAAAACCAAAGAATCGACAACTTTGAATTATAGTATTGGCGAAGAATGTTGAATATACCATTGATTGCCAAGAAACAAACAAATCTGTCTTGGTGCAAGTGCGATGAGAATGTTCTTTAGAAGGCAAGAGGGCTGAAGCCTCCTACTTTCCACATGGTTTCGGGAGAAACCAGTCCTTAGAGAAGGACATTGTGCTGGGAAAGGCGGAGGGTCAGAGGAAAAGATGACAACCCTGAAGGAGTTGGATTGACACAGTGATTGCCACCATGGGCTTGAACATGACAGAGGTCATGAGGATGATGAGTGATGGGGCAAAGTTGAGATCTGTTGTTCACAGGATCACGAGTCAGAGTTGACTCAGTGGCACCCAACAACCACAAACTCATTGCTTTTGAGTTGGAACTGCCTCCGAGCTAACCCTCCAGTGGGTGTTCAGAGACTGTAAATCACATCACAGAGGAAAATGTCCATTTGTCTTCCTTGAATCTACTGATGGATTCCAGCCACCAGAGAAATGCCACTTCTGGGTTAGTGGTACAACTTCCTACAGACTTCTAAATTCCAAACTCCCTGTTAGGTGATTCAATGGTGATAAAATGATTTCTGTACAACTCTTCATAATACTGCCTCTTAATCAAGTTTAACAACTGATATGATACAACTGCAGTGCACAAGGCACAGATCTGGGTCTGCTGCTAGTTACATTATATGTTGTTGTTGTTGTTGTTATGTGCTATCAAGTCACCTGTGACTCATAATGACCCTATGTACAACAGCCCTAAACTCTCCTCTGTCCTGTGCCAATTGCACTGTCTCCATACACCCATCCCAATTACCTCAGTCACTGAATCAATCCACCTCATAGAAGGCCTTCCCCTCCTGCGCTGCCCCTTCACCCTACCAAGCATGATGTCCCTCTCCAAGGACCGGTCCCTCCTCACAACATGTCCAAAGTATGTTAGATGGAGCCTCAGAATGCTTGCCTACAAGGAGCAGCCTGGTTTAACCCTCTCCAGGATGAATCTGTTTGTTTTCTTAGCAGTCCATGATACATTTAGTGCTCTTCTCCAAAACCACAGCTCACCAAAGATAGATCTACTTATTTTAGTGAAAGCATATAAAGTAGATCTGCAGCAAAAGATTTTTCTTTCTTTGTGAAAGAACCAAGATGTATTTACTTATAGTTCCACTGTCAGCTCAGAGGTGTGTGATATGAATCCACCAACTGCTCTGAGGGAGAAAGATGGGCCATCTCCTCTCCTGTGATTTACAGCCTCTGAAAATCCACCGGAGAGTCAACAATGAGTGTGAATTAGTTCTGACTTGACAACACTGAGTTGAGTTGAGTTTGTTAAGCAGATGTTTAAATGTTAAATCCTGGTGATTGCTCCATGGGCATGAGCATGGCAGAAGTGACGATGCACAGAGCAGGGAAAAGTGTCAGTCTGTTGTTCAGAGAGCTGCTGAGAGTTGTAGTTGACTCAGTGACACCTGACAACTAGTGACTATTCAGCTGATGAATTGAAATTGTAACTGGTCGTAGGATAAATCCAGGAACCAGAATTTGCTTCATTTGAATGTTTTTTCTTACCTACTTATTACTAGGGAGCTTTGGTGACCTAATGGGTAGGGAATTCTGCTGCCAATCTAAAGACAGGCAGTTTGAATCCACTAGCTGCTCCTTGGGAGAAAGATGGGCATTGTCCAAACTTGCTGGAGGTTAAGCTATGAGCCACTTACAATCGAATGACAGTGGGTTGTTGAGTTATATTGACAGAAAGTGACAGGTTATCAAATTATCAGGTACCTTTTTTTTTTTAAGTTTGCTCATGGAGTATTAAGTATGGAAATAGTAGCTTTCTTCATTATTATTCTGTTCTTTGCAGCTAGCAAATTATTTGTGACAGAGTCTAACTTTGTTGTCTCCTTGGATCCATTCTGCCATCTTTATTTCTTTGCTCTGGTGCTAACGAGATATGAACTCATTCACTGCTGTCAAGGAGGTTCCAACTCGTGGTGATCTTCAGTGTGGTTTCTGAGGCTGTAAACCTGGGATGAGCCTGTATTTCTCACATGGAACCACCGGTGAGTTTGAATGGCAGGAGACGTGCGGCCTCTTAGTTAACAGTGCAATGCCAGAACTAGGAGATACGAAGTAGCCCCCGAACATGAAAAGAACAGGGCGATATGAATAATTAACACTGTAAGTAGTTACTTATGGTGACAGTATGACTTTTTAAAACAAAACAAATCAGTCATTGCTTTTAGCACAATTGTTAGGCATGCAAAAGGACCCCTGGTGGCACAGTGGA